ATGCGTGGCAACGGACGACCCAGTGCGTAAATTCGTCGGTGGAAGCGGCACGCGTTTGCCCCAGGTTGCGGGTGCAGTGAGGGCGCGGCGGTGTCGTGGGGCGTACGCGGCTCCAAGGGGCGACCGCTCGAAAACAGCGAATAAAATTACGATTACACGCCACGATAGATGGCTGCAGTTTAAACTGCCTCCAAAAGTAAATTGCGCGTCTCAATCACGCACGTGAAGCGTCGATCGTGCATCACGCAAGGGAGAATTTTGTTTGCAAAACATTGGCCAAAAACGCCATCAAAATTATTTTATTATACAGAAAACAAAATGTTATAATAATAATAATAATAATAATAATAATAATAACAACAACAACACATGGGGTTTTCATTCTAGAACTCTCTATTTCCGAATTCTGTTTATTAAAGACTCGATTCATACAATCTTCGAGATTCGGTTTCCTCTTGTGACATTTCTTTCAATGTAGAACCAAATTACAGTGAATTTTGAAGGAAAAGAATGTATTTTTCTGTATCGTAAAAGTCTAAGTAAGTTGCATTTATTTATTCTCTTAATTATTATTGAAATAAATACACATTATAAATTATATAAGTGAAGAAAAACACAAAAAAATATAGAATTAATTCGTATAAATATATATTATTTGGGATAGCGAAGACAGCAGAAATTCTCGTTTCCTGTGAATGCAGAGTATTAATAATCATTGTTGAGATGAAGTTTCTCCATTCAGTTAGTATGAAAGTATTATAATGGACAACAATGAAACATCTGATATTATGTTCTGCGTCGCATAGGTTCAAAATTAATAATACAAACATACGTTTGTATAATTTGTATTAATGAACATAAGGTATCATATGTTTCTCAAAATGTTCTTTTCACACATCTACGGGCATGTTTTCGCAGATTAATACGTACGTTCTTCATATATACTTAGACTAGGAGATTATTCCAATTTTGGATTTATTTAGTTTAAATTATATCCCAATATTCATTTAAACTACGTGCGTATATTTATTTTTGTTCATCAACAAATTTTGCTGCTCTTAGACTCTACTACAATATAAGTTTAGACGACAGATAAAATAGCGTCACTCGTTTACAGTTTCCAATAATAAGCTTTATTTACTAAATATCACAAGTACAGAAACACGATACATAAAAGACATGGATCTAGCCGTGGGAAACACACTGTAGCAAGAAAAAGGATAGTTATGTACGTAAGTAAATTACACACAAAATTGAGTCTGTTAAAAACGGGGAGAACCATTTGTATCTCTGGGTGTAACAGGCTGCGCCTGGTAATGTTAGCCGCACAGAAGCAAAAAAGTTGGGGCGGAGGAGGGCTCGTAGGCACGCCAGCCAGCCGGCCGGCCGGCGGGCAAGCCCCTGGCCGCGGCCGCCTGCGTTTCGGGAATGTCGGGCGGGTTGCGGAGGGCGCGTTCACCCAGGGGCCGGGGCCGGCGGCAGCGGCTGCGGCGAGGCTCGTGGCTGATTCATCTTGCACCAACCGAGCTGTAATTCCCCAGACGATCGCGCAACCACACAGCAGCAAGCTGCCTTGCCCGCGGACCCCGAGCGACCTTCTCTTCCCCTCCTCTCCCCTCCCCGCCCGTCCCTTCCTTCCGTCTCCCTCTCTACCCCTTCTCTCCCTCCTCCACGGCATTCCCGCCGCTCGCTAAGAACAGCTATAACTCCAATTTCTGCCCAGATGGAAATGAAAGAAATTTGAATTCCGCCTCTCTCCATCTCGTTTCACGCCCGTCCGTTTTCCTGAGCGCTTGCGACGAGGACAAACCAGCTCGCCCGAGCCCGTCGCCGCATCCTCCACCTCCACCCTCCACTTGTTCGCCTTCCCGTATATTCTCCTCCCCCTTTTCTTCATACGACACTCATCCTCTTGCACCGTTACCCCGCTGGATCACTCGCGGGAGA